AAGAACCGAGCATGACATAGCTCCTAGCACATTGAACAGTACTGATCACTATGCCAGAAGAAGAGAACACTAGAAAGCCTTACACCAATAATTAAGTGCTGCAGTTCAGAAATACACATCATTTCTTTTCACAGCTCTTTGATTGGTACTAGTCAGTGTCCCCACCCATTCACAAGTATGTCAGGAATTGCAATCCAATAAATGTCAGGGAGACAGAGATATTTAATGAGTTAAATATTTAACGACTGTTAACTACATATAATTTCAACTAATGGCTGGTATCTTACAAGATCTTAATATTGTCTCCAACAGTGCCAGAGATCACATCCAGAGAAAGAACACTCAGAAAAAGAAGAGTCATTATTTAAAAAAAATAAAATAAAAAAATTGTCAATTGGCCTTTATTTATTCATTTATCTATTTGTATGTGGTGCTGAGAACCAAACCCAGTGTCTCACACATGCTAGTGTTCTACCACTGAGCTACAATCCCAGCCCAAGGGTTATTATTCTTAACAGCAAGGAAAATTTCCCTAGAAGCCCCTAATAGACTTCACTCACTTAGTATTGTCCAGAACTGAACCATATGTCCGTTCTTAACCAATTGCTGGCAAGAGGAAAGAGATGATGATGATGAAGATTATTCGGGTAGGCAGTTCAGAGGACTGAACTCAGAGGTACTCTTCCACTAAACTACCAGCCATTTTTAAGATCTTTTATTTAGAGACAGGGTCTCACCAAATTGCCCAGGCTCTCAATTAGCTGTGATTACAGGCATACACCACTATGCCTGGCTCTGAGAAATGAGATTATTATGGTTAGCTCAGTCCAGGAGATCTACCTTCTAGAGCCAGGATTGAGTCACTTTTCCCTGAAGCTCATGGCTGGATTTATGTTAAGTGTAGAAAAAGATGTTAAAATATATTTCTCTGGTACTTTCTAGTGAGCCAAATCCATAAAGGAAAGATACATCAATCCTGTCAATAACAAAGGTTGAAACCAAGATGAGAAAGTAGAGAAAATGAATGTAGGCAGGAATTCAATGGGATTTGCTACAAAAAGCTAACCTAGAGGGATAGAGTGATCAATAAGAAATATTATACAGTCTGATATAATGACTCACACCTATAATACCAGATTCTTGGGAAGATGAGGCAGGAAAATCACAAATCCAAGGCCAAGCTTCAGCAACTTAGTGAGACTCTGTCTAAAAATAAAAAAATTTAAAAAGGGCTGGGGATATAGTTCAGTGGTAGTTCAATCCCCAGTATTGATAGAAAAAATTACACAATGGGGGCTGGAGGTTTATGTCAATGGTAGATCATGTGCTTTATGTATACAAGATCCTGGGCTCAATCCCCAATACTGTAAAGCCAAACAAAATAAAAACCAAAAGGGAAGAACTGAGAAATGAAATTGATCAAATCATGATATGTATATATACAAATATATCATACCGATTCCCACCTTCATGTATATCTATAAAGAACCAATTAAAAATGAATAAATGGAAGGAAGACCAGTAGAGTAGGAGAAGGGGACTAAGAGTAGTAGGAGGGGAAGGAATTAGTGAGGACTGAAATAGAGCAAACGATATTCAATGTATGTATAATATGTCAAAATAAACCCTACTATTATGTATAACTATAATGCACTAATAAAAACATTAAAAAATCAACCTAAGGTCTAGTTCTGACATATAATTTGATTAGAGTTATGCAACTAGTGTTCAAACCAGATGTTAAACCAAAGCAATCTGGTTCCAAAGTTTGGATTCCTTTTTCTTTGCAGTACAGGTGATTGAACCCAGTGGGGCTCTACCACTGATCTACAATACAGCCCTTTTTATGTGGAACAGCATCTTGTTAAGTTGTCCAGATGTAGCTCAGTGGTAGAATGCTTGCCTAGCAAAAGTGCAAACTCTGGGTTCAATTCCCAGCACCACCTCCCCTAAAAAAGAACTTGGACATAGTACCTTTGATATTTTAATCTTTTTTGGGGTAGGGATGTTGGTGATTAAACACAGGGTCTCCCACATGCTAAAAAGCACTTTACCACTGAGTAACATTCCCAGTCCCTAAACTTTCAAAATTTTGTAGCCTCTTGCAAATAATACTTCTACTTCATAAAAATCAGTAACAAATAGCTGGGCTCAATGACTCATACCTATCATCTCAGATACTCCAGAGGCTGAGGCGGGAAGATCACAAGTTCCAGGTCAGCCTGGCAATTTAGCAAGACCCTGTCTTAAAATAAAAAAGGGCTGGGGATAAACTCAGTTGTAAAGTGTCTGTGTTCAATCCCCAGTACCCAGGAGGGGAAAAAAAAGAATTTCATGTTTTCACCATAATGTTTGAGATGAAGGATTTTTAACCTGATTTAAATATTACACGTTCTGTGCATATATTGAAACACCATTTTACCCCATTAATATGTACAATTTTGTTTTATATATCAGTTAAAAATAATTTTCACCAGAGGGGAGGCCAAAGCAGGAGGATCACAAATTCCAGGACAGCCTGAGCTACTTATCAAGACTGTCTCAAAATAAAAAATAGAAGTGGCTGGGAAGTATCTCAGTAGTAGGGTGCCCTGGTTCAAACATCAGTATAGTGAAAAAAATTTTTTTTAAATAATAAAAGAACAATTACAGCCACATTATTATTCTTATGTAAATAATATGGAATTTAGTCTGCCATCTAGTTGATAAGGCAGTAGTTTTTTTTTTTCTATTTTTATTTTTTTTTCTAATGAGGTAAAAAATATTTTGTTGGTTGAAGTAGATTAGTTACCTAATGAAAGCAGTTTTCATACTACTTATTGTTTATATTCTTTTTTTTTTCTTCAGTCACTAAAAGCCATTTACTGAGATATGTACAATTTGGATTTTTAATTTTGTGCAGCTACAATAATATTTATGATGCTTTCATGAACAAAAGTATATTACAAAAACAGATATATTTCACTATACCTTAATAAAAATGGACATGTGCATGTATCATTATTTAAATGTTTATTTTCACCTCTGAGTATATTTTACCAATTTTATTATAAAATAAATCATATAAGATTTATTAATTTATGTTTATTTGTTTATACCATATTTGGTTATTATGTTATTATTATATACATATTGCTGGTTAATACATTCTTTTTTTAATTTTTTTTAAAATTTTTTATTGTTGGTTGTTCAAACCATTACATAGTTCTTGACATATCATATTTCACACTTTGATTCAAGTGGGTTATGAACTCCCATTTTTACCCCGTATACAGATTGCAGAATCATATCAGTTACACATCCATTGATTTACATGTTGCCATACTAGTGTCTGTTGTATTCTTTAAGTCTCTAGCTCATTTTCTATTGGAAAGTACATAATATTTTATTAATTAATGGATGAACAGAAAAATAGAGTACTGCATTCGATCATTCTGGTTTGTTTGAGACTGAAGATTCTATGCTGTTAATATTTTCAATATCCTTGTAGATTTCAAAGTAGAAACATTTTTATTGCTTTTAGTAATTTAAAAATGTAGTATATGGGTGTTCTTACAATGCAGTCAAACAGTAATAGAAATATACACAGTAGAAAGTTAAAGACTCTATAATTCCATTCCTATATAACCAACTGCAGAAGACAGGGAAAGATGTAGTCATAAGAAGAAATGTAATAAATACATGAAATGTAAACTATTTATATGGTAATAAAAAACCCAAATAGTAAATATGGATTTAACCAAATACTTTAACATAGCCATACTGGGAAAATAGAAGAGAGACAGAGGGAGATATAACAGATTGAAAAAAGTCCTCCCTTATCCCTCTATGAATTAAGTGACAGAAATATATGCATTTTTTAAGCAATATGTACATACATATGAAAAGAAATAGTCAATGAAGTTATAAGTAGTTGCTTGTGGGGAACAGAATCTGGTCCTACAGGAAGGGCAGACAAATAGCTTCTGTGTTTGGGTATAAGATTTTGAGAGCTACTTCATATTTTATGGGTATAACAACACTCAGATTGAGATTAAGTTAAAAGAAAAATAAGATGATAAAGCACCCATATTTAGAGACAAAATTCTCTTGAAAAGTTTATTTAACATTCCTAATAATAAACCATTCAACTTTCCAGTCTGTATGAAGTTTTGTTTTGAGATTAAATTTATTTGCAAACCCTCATGTAATCCAATTGGATATGAATAAAGTTTTTAATATCAAGTTTTTAAATAGGTCATTTGAATATCTGCCTTTTCCCATGGGATAACAATAATATTACTATCATATTTTTCTTATTTTTATTACAATTAGTTCTTTACAAGATTATTACTAACAAATCCTGATTTTTAGTACAGGTTGAGAATTCCTTATCAAAAATGCTTGAGCCCACAAGTATTTTGGAATATTTATACATATATAATGAGATATTTTAGGGATGAGACCTAAGTCTAAACATGAAATTCACTGATGTTTCCTATATTTTTACACATAACCTGAAGGTAATTTTATACATTTTTATTTTTAAAAAAATTTATTTTTTGCAGTACTGGGATTTGAGCCCAGAAGCTCTCTACCACTGAAACTATATTCCCTTTATATTTTTTTTTATCTTGAAAATAGAGTTTTGCTAGTTGATTAATTGTTCTGGAACTTGTGATCCTTCTCCCTCAGTCTCCCAAGTGACTGGGATAATAGGTATTTGCCACCACACATGGCTAATGCATATATTTAATAAAGTGGATGAAACAAAATTTTATGGTATGGAATTTTCCACCTCAGGTGGCATATTGGTGCTCAAAGTTTTGGATTTTGGGGTATTTTGAATTATTTTGGACTTTTGAATTAAGGATGCTCAACCTGTACTTTGCTAAGGCAAAAGAGAAACATGATGCTTTAAAATTATTTTTAAATTTCCTATGAACTATTTTATAGTACAAAACTATTTGATATTAAGTATTCTTATGTTCAAATACTAAAAGTAATCTTTACTTCCCAAATTAAGTTTATACTCCAAGATTTTATTTTTAAAATATTTACATAATAAATACAATTTTAATCACTAAGTTCTTCTTCATCACTGAAATATGTACTTTTCTTTATCCTTGGGCGTCTTGAATCATCTGATGTTGAAGGACCCCCTGCACTGGGTTTCCATTTGTTTTGTTCTTCTTCAATTTTGGCTTGCTGTAATGTGATTCAGAAAAGAAATAAAACCAGCATTTTGTCTAATGTTATTCATGGTGCATTAATTTGAACATGGCAAAAATGCAACACAAAAGACACCACTTTCCACCCTTCCAGGTCATGAAGATAGTAAGATATTCCTCCCAACCCTCATACTTTGTCTCAATTACAATATTCCTCAAAATCATCCTAGGTTATTTCTTTCTCTCTTTTTTTTGGTTCTGGGGATTGAACTCAGGGGCACTTAACCACTGAGCTACATCCCCAGCCCTTTTTTGTATTTTATTTAGAAAGAGGGTTTCACTTGAGTTGCTTAGTGCCTTGCTAAGTTGCTAAGATTGGCCTTGCTTTTTTTTTGGTACCAGGGATTGAACCCAGGGGCACTGAACCATTGAACCACATCCCCAGCCCTTTTTATATTTTATTTAGAGATAGGATCTTGCTGAGTTGCTCAGGGCCTCCCTAAATTGCTGAGGCTGGCTCTGAACTCGTAATCCTCCTGCCTCAGCCTCCTGAGCTGCTGGGATATAGGCATGTGCCATTGTGCCTGGCTTTCCTAGGTAATCTCTGAAAACTCTTTTTGGTTGAGCTAAACTCACTTTAATCAAATAATTCTGCTCAATTCTATAATGAAAATAGGAAACTAAAAATGTTTCAATGTTTTTCTTAAAATTTAGAAAGAATAAATGGGAACTTTTCATTCCCATTTGTTAGAGGAACATTCTGTAATCTCAAATTTAGGAGGTGAAGGGGAAAGATAGAGGCTTCCGTGAGGAGACAGTCAATAAAGTGAGTAAGCGCTGCTAGGTGTGGAGGCTGCACACCTATAATCTCTGTGACTGGTGTGGCTGCGGCAGGAGAATCCCAATTTTGAGGTCAGCCTGGGAAATTTAGCAAGACCTGACTCAAAATAAAAAATAGAAAGGGATAGGACTGTAGCTCAGTGGTAAAGTGCTCCTGGGTTCAATTTAGCACCAAAAAAAGAAAAGAAAAGAGAAAAAGCAAGCAAGGATTATAAATCTTTGTAACATGGTACTTTAAAAAAAAAAATATTTAGTACCTGAAATGCAATGGCCTGACTGAGACTGTCAAGAGCAGGATCTTCCCCTTCATCTTCACTTTCTTCTACTTCCTCACTAAATTATTAAAGAGAGAGAGAAGGGTGTGTGTGGCGGGGAGATCAGCATGCAATTAATCAACAGTAAAAAGACAAATCAACACACTAAGGTCATAATAGATATACATACATTTCTTCTTCTGGTTCAGGAATTTTCTTTTTTTTCTTTTTTTCTTTCTTCTTTGGAGGCTCCCGTTCTCCAAGCATATTTTTAGGACAGGCATAACTTAAGTGTCCACTTTCCTTTTAATTCACATTAAAAAGAGGAAAAATACTATATTTGTTATTAACAGAACCTGCCAGGGACCTTATGACTGAAAGGTTTTAGAATTAAAAAAAAAATCTTCACACTGGGAATACACAAAAGAAAATGACTTTTAAACAATAGTTTATCTAGCATGAGCAAAGTCTATGGGTTCATTTCCCAGCACTGCAAAGAAAGGAAAATTTTGTCTTCTTCATTTTTCTTTTTAACTGCTTTCATATCTACACTATACCTGCACTGTCCAATTATAGTAGACACTAGCTCCATGTGCCTACTATGAGCATGTCTGAATTGATATATACTAAAGGGAAAAGGCACACTTTGAAGACTTATGAAAAAAGACTATACAAATCTTAATTTAAAAAACCAGTAGGTGGCTGGTGTTGTGGCTCAGAGGTAGAGTGCTTGCCTAGCATATGTGAGGCACAATCCTGTGCACCACATAAAAATAAAATAAAGGTATTGTGTCCACCTAAAACTAAAAAATAAATGTTAAAAAACAAAAAAACTAAAAACGCCCCAAAAACCAATGGGCATGGGCTGGGACTGTAGCTCAGTGCATTTGTCTAACATGCGTGAGGCACTGGTTTCAATCCTCAGCACCACATAAAAAAATAAATAAAATAAAAGCATGCTGTCCATCTACAACTATAAAAGAAATTAAAAAACAAAACAAAACAAAAAAACAAAAACCAATGGGCTGCAGATGTAGCTCAGCTGTACAGAAAATGCCTAGCAAACGTGAAGTGTTGGGTTCATTCCCCATCACTGCAAAATAAGTAAATAAGTAAATATATAAATAAAATGGCTGATATTATAGTCCTATTTAATAGGACTACATTTACCTACAGAAGCACTTCCCAAACTGTTCTGGGATAATGGTATACCAACAAATTTTAACATGTCCCATTGGAAAAAAAAAAAAAAAAGGCTTAACATTGAAATAACTTTGAGAAAAAAAGGAGGAATAAATGTAAACCAATTTTGTGGGAAATTAAAGGATGTATAAAAATTTACAAAGTATAATACAATAAATCTATGGATCCACAGGCCAGATTCATTCAAAGTTTCTCAGTAATTTAATATTTACTGTGAACATGAAAAATGATATATTCTATTATACACATAACTATCTCTACTCCTTTTAAAAGTTTATTTTTTATTTTTATTTATTTATTTGCTTTTGGTGGTAGGGACCAAACCCCCAGGACCTTATGCATGTTAGTACTCCTTTTAAAACAAAACTTAGGACTTTGGAAAAGCATCTTCAAAACATTCACTTAAAAGGGTTTAAAATCATAGAGATTGACAGAATTCGTATGCATCCATGCCACTGTTTGCTTCCTCTTTCTATTCATTCATCCATCTGTCTATATATCGTTCTTTGATGGGGAAGGGGAATAGGGAGTGGCAGTGAGAGAAAGGAGCCCAAGCCATTTCTTTGAATTGTTCATGTGATTTTGTAGCTAGGACATTGTCTCTTGAGTAATTTTCTCTCTAGTTCCCCATTAATACTTCAGGATTCAGTTTAAGTATTTTATACTGTCATTTAAGTATTTATAGCATCTTTTAGAAACAGACAGATATGAGATCCAGACTGAAATTTTCTTAGGGGTCTTATACAAAATTGTTCTATGGCTATCTCTCTCCTAATCACCAAAATGTTATATGGATGACAGTAGATCATGAATAGACTCAAGACAAGAAAATGTGGGGGTAGTTCGATTACAAAACATTAGCCATATAATGGGGAAAAAATCCTTTTCAAAACATGTCTGCATTCCCAGCTGAGGCAGGAAGATCTCTTGAGTTTGAAAGTTCAATCCAGCCTAGGCCACAGAGTGACATTTTCAACAACAACTTTTAGAAGCTGGTTTTAGCCAGTCAGAAGTTCTTTTTTTTCCCCTTAGGACTGAACCCAGGGACATTCCATTACTGAGCTATATTCCCAGCCCTTAAAGTTGCTCAGGTTGGCCTAGAACTTGTGATCCTCCTGCCTCAGCTTCCCAAGTAGCAGGGATTATAGAAGTGAGGCACTGTGTATGGCTGCCAGCCCATGGCCTAGGCTGGTCTTGAACTTTCAAACTCAAGAGATCTTCCTGCCTCAGCCTCCCAAATAACTGGGAATGCAGACATGCTCCACCAAACCCACTGTTCTGAAAATTTTTTTTTCCCCATTATATGGCTAATGTTTTTAACCAAACTACCCCCACATTTTCTTGTCTGGCAAGACAAGAAACTAGCTTCTAAAAGTTGTTTTACTTAGAGACTTCAGACTCATCTAAGTAAATTTAATTTAAATGTAGTATTTAAAGATAACTGTGATTGGATAATACACAGTGATAATTTCTCCAGTTTCTACCTTTTTGAAATTGTTTTCTAAAAAGTGTTAGACTGTTATATCTCATGATTTTAGTTCTGAGGAACACCAATAAAAGACTATTGTGGAAAATACTTCAGAGTAACCTACAATGATTTCATTAAATTTTAGGTTTACTCACCCCACATTCATAACACTTAGATTTATCAAAGTAGTTTCGCCTCCTGATGAACTCCGCTGCTCTTCCATTGTCAATAGCAATGCTTGCCTTTATCACTCTACCAAACAACTAAACAGACAAAAATGTAAATGCAGAAGGATGTATTTCACAGAAACCTAAACTAGTTATTTGATCTTATTTCTTCGAAACCTCAATTCCATTTATATTTTGGATGATTTTAGCAATTGCCCTACTTTGATTGATGAAGTCTACCCCATGGTATTTTTCTTAGATTCTACCAATGTTTTGGGAGCCCAGTATATCTCTGTCATCCCCATTAGATGCTCTCTGAATCTGTGGATACTCATTAACTGTATTTCCCATATTTCCCCATATTTTTTGGGTTATAAACCTTGGTGAGAATGTTTAGCTTACCTGTTTGTTGTTTATTGCCCTTGTGCAGTTTTGTGCAGAGTCTTTATCCAAAAATAAAATAAATGCAACCCCTTTACTTTTCCTGGTATCTTTGTCTTTCATTATAGTAACCCTTAAAGCATAAACAAAGAGCCAGTTAAAAATGAGGCAACGATAAATTTAAAAAATATGAATATTTAGAAAACTCGAATTTTAAAAAATGGTTATGTAATAAAACATTTACAAAGTAAGAGAAATCAATACATTTATAAAACCAGCTATCTCTTCAAAGTCAAGGGTATCAAGAATGGAAATGACAAAGTGAAAGTGACTTATAAGTGAGCACAGATTTGTGAGTTAGTCTCTGTGTCCTCTATTCTGTACCATTGGTCTACCAATCTGTTTTGGTGCCAATACTATGCTGTTTTTATTACTATTGCTCTGTAGTATAGTTTAAGGTCTGGTATGGTGATGCCACCTGCTTTACTCTTCCTGCTAAGGATTGCTTTAGCTATTCTGGGTTTCTTATTTTTCCAGATGATTGCTTTTTCTATTTCTATGAGAACCTGAAGAGACACTTCTCAAAAGATGATGTACAACCAATCAACAAATACATGAAAAAATGTTCATCATCACTAGCAATTAGAGAAATGCAAATTAAAAGCAATCTAAGATTTCATCTCACTCCAGTCAGAATGGCAACTATTATACATACAAACAACAATAAGTGTTGGCGAGGATGAGGGGAAAAAGTACACTTGTACACTGCTGGTGGGACTGCAAATTGGTATAGCCAATATGGAAAGCAGTATAAAGATTTCTTGGAAAATTGGGAATGGAACCACTATTTATTTATTTTTATTTTATTTTTTATTGGTTGTTCAAAACATTACAAAACTCTTGACATATCATATTTCATACATTAGATTCAAGTGGGTTATGAACTCCCATTTTTACCCCAAATACAGATTGCAGAATCACATCGGTTACACATCCACATTTTTACATAATGCCATATTAGTAACTGTTGTATTCTGCTACCTTTCCTATCCTCTACCATCCCCTCTCCTCTCCCCTCCCATCTTCTCTCTCTACCCCATCTACTGTAATTCATTTCTCTCCTTGTTTTTTTTTTTTTCCCATTCCCCTCATAACCTCTTATATGTAATTTTGTATAACAATGAGGGTCTCCTTCCATTTTCATGCAATTTCCCTTTTCTCTACCTTTCCCTCCCACCTCATGTCTCTGTTTAATGTTAATCTTTTCCTCCTGCTCTTCCTCCCTGCTCTGTTCTTAGTTGCTCTCATTATATCAAAGAAGACATTTGGCATTTGTTTTTTAGGGATTGGCTAGCTTCACTTAGCATAATCTGCTCTAGTGCCATCCATTTCCCTGCAAATTCCATGATTTTGTCATTTTTTAGTGCTGCCTAATACTCCATTGTGTATAAATGCCACATTTTTTTTTTTTATCCATTCATCTATTGAAGGGCATCTGGGTTGGTTCCACAGTCTAGCTATTGTGAATTGTGCTGCTATGAACATCGATGTGGCAGTATCCCTGTAGTATGCTCTTTTAAGGTCTTCAGGGAATAGTCCGAGAAGGGCAATAGCTGGGTCAAATGGTGTGGAACCACTATTTAACCCAGCTGTCCCTCTCCTTCATCTATACCCAAAGGACTCAAAAACCGCATACTATAGGGACACAGCCATATCAATGTTTATAGCAACACAATTCACAATAGCTAAACTGTGGAACCAACCTAGATGCCCTTCAATAGATTAATGGATAAAAAAATGTGGCATGTATATACAATGGAATAATACTTAGTAATAAAAAGAATAAACTCATGGCATTTTCAAGTAAATGGATGGAGTTAGAGAAGATAATGCTAAGTGAAGTTAGCCAATCCCAAAATACCAAATGCTGAATGTTTTCTCTGATATAAGGAGGCTGGTTCATAGTCGGGTAGGGAGAGAGAGCATGGGAAGAATAGACAAACTCTAGATAGGGCAGAGGGGCTGGAGGGAAAGGGAGGGGGCATGGGATTATTAATGATAGTGGAATGTGATGATCTTTACTATCCAAAGTACATGTATGAAGACATGAATTGGTATGAATATACTACGTATACAACCAGAGATATGAAAAATTGTGCTCTATATATGTAATAAGAATTTTAATGCATTCTGCTGTCATATATAAATTAAAAAATTTACATAAAAAAGACTGGTCTCCATAAATTTGTTTTCGTTACTTTTGTGACTGAGAATAAAATCAACCTGATCTAGAACAAAGAGAATTACATTTATTTGGGGCTAGGTAGGATTATAATCCAGAAAAAAACAGATTCAAGCAGTCTTGAAAATGTGCTACAAGGTTTTACAAAGTGGCAGCTAAATTTTTCTACAAAGGGTTTGGAAATCACATCACTTGTTATGAATTATGATCAGTGAGGGCAGAAGTTCAGCTGTTTTGCAAGAAAGGAACTGGGTGCAGTTTCAGTCTCTGGGTGGTTTTGGGGAAAAGGTCCCTTTATAGAAAGCAGTCAGTGGTGTTTAACAAAAAGGTCAGCTCTCATGGGGTATGAAGATGGATCTTCTTGTAGCCCATTTCAAAGGTTCAGCTGCAAAGCTGTCTGAGATCTGATTAACAATGATCTTCTGACTCCATCTGAAGTACCCTGAGACAATGCTGCTCCATTTCGTTTTGTTCCTTTACAACTCTAATCCAAATCTCTACACTGAAGCCAAAATAAGCTTTTAAAAAGTTTTAGAATCCATACTGGGTGTAGTGACTCCTTCCTATAATTCCAGCAACTTTGGGCTCCGAGGCAAGAGGATTACAAGTTTGAGGCCAGCCTTAGCAGTTTAACAAGACCCTGCTCAAAATGAAAAAATACAACCGAAAAAGGGAAAAGAAATAAAAAGAAAAAATAAAATTTGGGCAGCCAGGGATGTAGTAGTTCAGTAGTAAAGCACATAGCCCTGGGTTTAATCCTCAGTACCACCCTTCCCTCAAAAAATGGAGGAAAAAAAAGAGCCTTCTTCAATGATTCCTAGTGTTTTCAGAATGAAAAACAAACAAGATTAGGAACCAATGTGCATCTAGATCCATCTTTTCTCTCCCTTAACTTATTCATCTCCAGTCACAGGGGCCTTCTTTGTTTTGTTTTGTTTTCATGGTAATGAAGATTGAACCCAAGGGTGGTCTACCACTTAAATCTGGTTTTGAACTTGAGATCCTCCAGTCTTAGCTGAGATTACAGGGTACACCACCATGCCTGGTCTTTGTTTCTTTGTTTCATTTTATTTTCTCTTGCCACAAGGCCTGTAGTACAAGCTATTCCCTGTACATCCCCCACCCCTTTTTTTGCTGTGCTAGGAATTGAACTCAGGGCCTCACACATGCTAGGCAAATGCTTTATCACTGAATAAAATCAACCTGAACTAGAACATCTCCAGTCCCCATCCTCCCATTCTTTTTGCCTACTTAGCTCTTACTTACCTGCAGGTTTTTTTTTTTTTAAGTACTAGAGATTGAATCCACAGGCACTCTATTACCGAGCTACATCCCCAGCTCTTTTTTATTTTGTAGCAGGGCCTTGATAAATTCTCAATGCTTGAAGTTGCAATCCTCCTGCCTTAGTCTCCTAAATTCCTGGGATTATAGGTAAGTGCCACTGACCCAACCCAGAAGTATTTTTTTGATGATTTGTAGTAGCAAAGTTAGTTTTAACAAAGTTAAAAATCTCAAGATACAAATGAACTTCAAGTGTTTAATATCCATTTATGGAAAACCAGAGAAAGAAACTTAGGATATAATGTCAAGTAAAAAAACAAAATTGCATGTATGGAATTGTTTTAAAAAGTTGTCTACATATTTATGTACATACAACAACAACTGAAATATACATAAAATGTTAATATTTATTCATCTGATTATATCAAGTATCTCTTAAGGTGAATACTTACTTCACAACTTTGCCATACTTGGAAAATATCTGAAACAAAAGATCACATAAAAATTTATAATTTAAAATCATAAACACCGAATTTTCAGGTTGTAAACCTTTGTTATGGTTTATAAAGAAATTTTAGCCTTCCATCTATAAAACAGGTTCTACAAGAAATATTTTCTATGTGACCAGAAAAATTTTTTTTTACTATTTATTTTTTAGTTGTAGTTGGACACAATACCTTCATTTTATTTATTGTTTTATGTGGTGCTGAGGATGGAACCCAGGGCCTTGTGTAGGCGAATGCTCTACCGCTGAGCCACTACCCCAGCCCCCAGAACAAAATTCTTCTTGTCATTGGAATCACATGTATCTGCCTCTGTTCCTGAATTTCTTTCTTTTTTTTTTTTTTTAATATATATTTATTTTTTAGTTTTCGGCAGAAATAACATCTTTGTTTGTATGTGGTGCTGAGGATCGAACCCAGGTCGCACGCATGCCAGGCGAGCGCACTACCGCTTGAGCCACATCCTCAGCCCTGTTCCTGAATTTCTGATAACGGAGAGAAAAAAACACTTATCTGGGCACAGTGGCACATACCTGTAACACCAGCTATAGGTGAGGTTAAGGCAAGAGGACCACAAATTTGAGGTCAGGCTCAGCAACTTAGCAAGAACTTAACAATAACCTTTCTCAAAATAAAAAATAAAAAGGGGGCTGGGGTCGTGGCTATGGGGTGGAGCACTTGCCTGGCACCTGTGGGGCCCTGAGTTCGATCCTCAGCACCACATAAAAACAAATAGAAGAAAAATAAAGGTATTGTGTCCAACTACAGCTAAAAAAAAAAAAAAAATGGCTGGCGGGGTAGGTAGTGGTAGAGTATCCCTGGATTCAATCCCCAGTATGGCAAAACAAATAAAGAGACACTTTACACGTGTGATAGATCTAAGGCAGGTACACCGGACAGCTGCTGTTTTCTTATGGTATATTCTTGGCAACTATCAACTCCACCATAGCTTCAGCTAAACCAAATATCAATGTTGTGGAACATCACTTTTTGTATTCTACACCTACAGTCTAAGCAATAACTGTTTAAGAAGACTGCTTATAAAACAAAAACTTCAACAAAGAAAAATCCATTTCCATAGATCTCCATTCTCTGTCCATCATTAATATGTAGTACTTTATAGTTGGCCCTTTCTTCCCTTTTAGTTCTATATCTTCAGCTAGTACCTATAAACTTCTAAGTACTCTCTTCCCCTTTTTCAGTACTGGAATTGAACCCAGATCCCTGTGCATGCTAGCCAAATGTTCTACCATTGAACTGTATTCACAGTCCTTATTTTATTTTGAGATGGTATTTCACTAAATTGCGTAGGCTGGTCTCAAACTTGCAATCCTCCTACTTCAGTCTCCTGAGTGGCTGGGATTTTAGGCATGTTCCATCACACCCAGCTAGTTCCTACTTCTTACACAATGGGCTGGGGATGTAGCTCAGTGGCACAGTATTTGCCTAGCATGTGTGAGGTCATGTGTGAGGCTCTGAGTTCAACCCTCAGCACTGCAAACAAACTAAAAAACCACTTATATAATGTATTTTAGAAAACAATTTTAGAATATGTTAATACATGCTGTTGAGAGCCACAGTTTAGTCGGAATGACCCCTGGCATTTTGCCAGAGGGTATGGTTGAAAGGTGACCCTGCTCTGGGAATAAGGCGACTCCGGGGATTAGGGCGGATCCTGCTGGGAATAGGGCGGCTCTGGGATTAGCCTGCTACTTTGGAGTTCCCATTGAGTTCTCGCGGGGTTCCAAGAGAAATGGCGCGCGGAGCCCGGTGGAGGGAGTGTGTTCCTGGGAAGTGTGTGTAGAGTGCCGGTGAGAGTTGGGGAATAAAGAGTTGCTGTTTGAACCTACAAGGCTGTGTGGCGGCTCGGTTATTTTGTGTCCAGCCAGACTGCAGCAACATGCAACCAATAATTATGAAATTTTGAGTTCTATGATTAGTTCAGTAATGCTGCAATGCAGTGTAACTGGATTCCAGTGTTAGCAACATCAGATTCTGAGGCCAGTACACTTTTCTATATAACATTTTTTAATAGCTTCTAATTTCACTCAGATTGAAAGCTGGGCTCTTTAGAATAATCTGTATAGGCCCTAAAAGGCATCCCTAGAATGGGTTTACCTCTGATTACCCTTCCTCTTTTGAAATACTTTTCACCTAGACATCTGCCTCTTCATTGATTCAGTGTTTTATTTGAAAGTTACCTTCTCAATAAGGGTATTCTAACCACCCTATCTAAAATTTCACCTTCATTACCAACTTAACATTTAATAGCCCTCCTTCCCATGCCTTTTCTCCTTAGCAACCAACATTTTAACATCTCCCTTAGTATCTAACTTTTTCATACTGCACAGTCTGTTTTTCTTGTTATCCTGAATCATGAATTCAAGTCTTTTTGTTCACTGATATGTCTCTATTACAATCTTTAAGAGTACTCAGCATATATTAAGCATTCAACACACTGTCCATTTTGTTATAGAGAAGCTAAAGCTAATTTTCCCCTATGTTCTTTGAAACTCAAGCTATCTTAATTAATTAAGTATCATGAATCACATATTGAAAGGAAGGATGTGAATTCTTTCTTCAAGTGTGCCCTATTTTCTTTACTACTTTGGGTAAATGTTCAGAAAACAGGGCACACTTAAGAAAGGATTTACATCCTTCCTTTCAATTCCTCTCAACCACCCATGTGCAGGAAAAATAAAGTGGGAAATTTTGTTCTCTATAAGGTAAAGAAGTGAAAGAATATACTAGAAGGGATATTCCCCCCGCCCCATCTCAATCACCCTTATTCTGAACTGAAAACAACATGTATTAAACTGTTAAACATTCTGCTTATATGTGAATGTTATGAATACTCGCAAAACCTGAGAGTTAGGAAAGGGATATTTGCTCTTACCAGCCCTTTACTCCAAAACCTCATCTCCATTACCAGTTAGTTTCAAAAGCCAAGTAAGCAAGCAGTAAAAACTGGCCTATCACAAACTGCTCCTGCTTTGTAATGCTATTTTATCTTCTGTTTATAAAAAACTCATTGTTTTCTAAAAAAAGCATAGCAAATTCTCTTTGGAAATGATAACTAATTTTTTTTCACTTATTCATATTTTCAATAGATGTCTTTGGTATTAACGGTTTAAGTGCATTATAATGTTCTAATTAAGAATTTTGTCAGAGAAGCTGGGTGCAGTGGCACATGACTGTAATCCCAGTGGCTGGGAAGACTGAGGCAGGAGGATCAAAAGTTCAAAGCCAGCTTCAGCAATTTAGCAGGGCCCTAAGCAACTCAATGAGACCCTGTCTCTAAATAAAACACAAAAAAGGGCTGGGGATGTGACTTAGTGGTTAAGTGCCTGAGTTCAATTCCTGGTACGTATATAAGTAGATAAATAAAAAGATTTTTGTCAGAACTATTTGCTTAAAAGTACATCTGTATCTCAAATAGACAATTCAGTAGATAAATGCACTAATACTAAAACTTACCCGATATAAATCGTTGTTTGTCAGGGAGAAGGGCAAGTTGGATACATACACTGTGCTCTTACTTGGAGCTAAGCCACCACTCATTTCTAAAAAAGGAAAAAAAAAAAAAAAAAAAAAGCGACCTATAAGCAATGTAAACCAGGCATTCCTCATTCCAAGTAAAACCAAGTGTTGGCCACCACTAATTTAATTTACATGCCTTTCTTACAAACGTAAAAAGTCAGAGTCAGTGAGTCCAGCTGGATGAATTAAGGAATTCATTTCCCCAGCCACCACTTAAAGAGTTTTTAATATGGTCCTTCTTTCAAGTAAATTCTTTAATCTTTTAGTGCTGGACTGTGTATGAGAGGAGGGCTTTCCAAAAGATGAAAGCAAATCCTTGAGATCACCTTTTACTTCCCCTTAGGATAAAAGCAAGAAAGTACTTTCAAATAGGTAGTATACCTTGCCATTCACCTCAGAGAGTCTGGTGACTCATACAGAACCACTGCCACTAATTTTTTTTTTTTTTTTGTAATACTTTGGGTACTTTTTTGGGGTTGTATTCATATCAAGAGGAAATTTTAGGCTCACTTTTTGACAATGTAAAATTATTTTTAACACTTAATTTTGCACTTTGTTGACAAATTATGAATTACAGCATTTTATGAGAGCTTCCAAGGTATAGTATTTTACATATACACGTTATGTTTAAGGTTACAAATATAACCTCTAATTAAGTTTCACAACTTATTTTACAAAGTCAGCAAATTACCCATGAAAATTATTTCGGGATTAACCAATTTTTTTCTTTAATTCTTTCTTTTTGGTATGGGGGATTGAACCCAGATCCTCAAGCTAAATTCACATTTTTGCACATGAAATCCATGTGTGCCATGTATTTGAGTTAACAGTATGAACTATCACAAACAGCAAAATACTGATTCTAATTTATGTCAACTTGCAAAGTATTGGAAAATTTGTTTATACTAGGTGTTTGGGGGAGAATTATTTAGAAAACTTTAGAAACTCAACATCAACAAGTCGCTTTTAAAAGTTCCTCATTTGAGCCCATTCATACATTAGACATTCTGGTAAGAAACTCGAGGCAGGCAAAGGTTGATGTTCAGCACTAAAACCGCGGTGGCGGGAGAGGTGGCAAATCGTTTTGGCTACCGGGTAGGAGAAAAAGGCCGCAAGTGAGGAGGCGTTTACCTTCAGGTGGGGCGAGCCCGGGAGACCAGAGGACCACCAGCCTCGGCTCGGCTGGGGCTCAACCCCGACTCTTCCTCGCCGCGGGCAGCGGATTTGGCATCACCTGTTCCTGCAGGGGTCAGAGGAAAATACCGGGCGGTAGGCCCACCCGTACCCCTTCCCGGTTCGCCTTGGACCCGGGCCCCGGAGGCGGGCCAAAAGGCGCGCGTCAGTGATGTCATAGCGCGCGCCGGAAGTGCTTCCTTAGGATAGTGGCGGCGAGCGGACAACTACGTTCCCGGTGTCTCCCGGCGGCCCAGAGTAGGTGAGCGCATTTTACTTTTGCTAGAGGTGACGGGACGCTTGAGCTGTCAGCTACGCCTCGGGGGAGCTGGCGGGTGGTTCCCGCTGAGGAACCTGGAGTCTCCTGCTGCATTTCAGTCGTGCAACAGTTCTGCCCTTGCGATTGAGGGTGGAGAGACGCAGTGGATTTTGGAATAAAGGAAAGTATCGAGTCTAAGTTAGATATTCGCTTCTCTTTAGTATTCTAATATGCAAAAAGAGTACTGAGCTAGGTGACCTAAGTGACTCAACATCAGTCAGTCAAGAAATCGGCAATTTTATTGAATGTGTTCTACGTACTCACCTCGGTTTTAGGCACTTTAGGAAATAACAACAACAAAAAATTGCAAACCAGGCCTTTTTTTTTTCCCCTCGTGGCGGTGATTTCAGTGTAGTCGGGGAGACAAGGCCAACTCGGGGAAAGTTGGATTCACAGAATGACTAATCTTGATTGGTATGTTGAACTTCTTGGCCCCTCCCCCCACGCCCCTCCCCCCACACCCTCCCGATCTGTAATGGGCACGAACAGCTTTTTCTCTAAGAGGTCGTAACGGGCCCATCATTCCTACTGACAAAATCAAAATAATGCAAGGTAGTTTATACTTAACTTCTACCCACCAGCACATACAGATCAGGCCTCTAACTACTCCCTGGGAGCCTGCGTGCCAGCAGCTTGGAACCCACAGCCTGTCCTGGAGCCTGCACAGTCCATCCAGACTGAAGCTGATGTCTTCTGGAGAGACGGAAGTGCAATCCATCCAGGGCGCAGCTGAATTTTGCGAGGCCTGAATGCCTCGGCGTCCACCAAAGGACCGCTGGTACTAATTCTCTTGGCAAACTGTGGCCAGCCAAACCTATCATGCTTCACATCCCAGTTATCCTTGGTTACCGCCCAAGATGTAAGCCCCTTTGGTATTCTATGCTATATTCCCTTATCTTCTGCTGCTTTGTGTTTCTTTTCCCGTGATTTAGGCTCTTGGTTTTCTTAAGCATCTAACCCCTCAGCACCCATCCTGTGCTCTCTCAAACCTTTTTTCTGCTTTTGCTCATTTACATGTTCAGCCTTTTTACTGGGGTTGTTTCATTTCCTGACCTTTATTAACACGTGGTTTTTCCTGCTAATCATTTCAATTGAGTCCTTTCTTTGATACCTACATTGAAAGTTGGCAGTGACTCTTGCCATATTGAACTAGTTTCATTACCTCAAAATACTTTTTTATCTCCTCAGTGTCTTTGGAAAGGCTCTTTTCTCTATTTGGACATTTGGTTTCCCTGTCCCCACCTACCTCTTTCTGGATAACTCCTATTCTTGCTGTCACTTTATTTGAGGGTGTTTCCTAACTTAGAGTTAATTTTCTTTACCTTCCTTAAATGCTCTCTGCTTAGCTTTTAGAGCTTATCACATGTATTCTAAATGTTTCTCTATTTGCCTATCTGCTAAGCTAAGCTGTGAAGGAGAGACTGTACTTGTTTTCATTTTTGTAATTTCAATATCTAATACAGTTACTGGTGTATAATAGGCAGTCAGGTAGTTCTTGAATGATTGTAGATGCTGAAGGTATGGTTTCAGTGGTCAAGGCACTTAAAATTAATATGTAAAGAACCTGGGGGAAGGGATCAACTGCTATTCAGTTAATTGTGACTTATAGATAATTGTGACTTGTAAGAATATGATCCTAGTGTTGTCAGAACATTTAATCTGTTCAAGAAATGTTGGGAAAAATGTGTTTTTTTTTGAAAACACTACTTTCAAATTTTTATAAAATATTTTCTTAATTGTAGATGGACACAATACCTTTATTTTATTTTATTTATTTATTTTTAATGTGGTGCCAGGGATCAAACCCAGTGCCTCATGCATTCTAGGCAAGCATTCTGCCACCGAGCCACAACCCCCCCCCTCCCCGGGCCCTATTTCTAAGTTTTTTAATAATATTGTCAATGGAATAAAATCTTGGTTTAAAAAAAAACAAAAAATCACAAGCCAGATAAAGTCACAGGTGACTTATCATTCATCAGTTTGGAATCTGTATTAAGTGCTGTAAGTTTTAGATAATGGATTTTGTAGAGAATAGCAGATTGTGAATTGGGCCTTGAGGTATGGTTGGAAGTTGAATGATAGAATGAAGGAGGTGTTTTGGTTTGGAAAATAACTCAATTATAGGATAGAATATCCTATTTTGTGTCACAGGAGAATGGCATGAATAATACTTTTGGGAAGAGTAGGAGATGGTAGAAGTAGGCATTTGAAAGGCAGGAATTTTGATTTATTAGGCTTAATTAATAAGAAACTATTTGGATTCTTAAGGATAGCATAAATTGCTGGGTATGATAACACACACCTGTAATCCCAGTGATTTGGGAGGTTGAGGCAGAAGTATTAAAAGTTCAAGGCCACACTAGGAAACTGAGATCTGTTTTTTACTGGGAATGTAGTTCAGTGGTAGAGTACTACTGGGTTCAATCCCCAGTTTAAAAGAAGAAAAAGAAAAAAAAAAAAAGGAAAGCACACATTAAGAATACATATTAATAGTTAAGTTTTTTGTTTTTTTTTTTTAGGTAAAATACTGAAAGGAGGCTGACCAGTTAGCCTTTAACTTCATCTAGGTGTGAAGTAAGATGTGAAATAAGGTTTAGATTTATAAATATTATACTTAGGCAGACATCTGGCATTTTTGTCTACTTGTGTAATTTCATTTATCATAGTGGACAGTCACAAATCTAAGTTAATTAATGAAATACAGTCACAAATCTAAGTTAATTAATGAAATACAGTCACAAATCTAAGTTAATGAAATAAAAAGTTTTTTTTTTAAACTAAATGCATTTTTAAACTTATACATTAAAAATATAAAAATTGTTTGTATTGGGGGTACCATGTTATGTTTTGATACATGTATATGTTGTTATGTTTAAATCGGGCTAAACATTTATCTCCTCAAACAATTATCATTTCTTTATGGTAAAAATTTTCAGAATTCTTTCTTCTAGCTTTCTGAAATGTATAGTCTACTATTGTTTTCTGTAGGCACACCAGAACTTCTTGCTCCTGTGTAACTGTAACTTAGTATCCATCTATCAACCTTTCCCCCCATCCTTCTCTCTCCATTCCTCCTCCCCAGCCTCTGTAATGACCATTCTATTCTGAACTAAAAGTTTTAATTTTTTCCTGTTGCTGGGAATTCAACTTAGGGTTTGGACATGCTAGGCAAGCTACATCTCCAGTCCTTTTTATTTACTTAATTTTGATACAGGCCTGGGTAATTTAGTGAGACCCTATCTCTAATTTATGATACTCTTGCCTTAAAACTCCCAAATAGCTGAGATTACAGGCATGTGCCACCATGCTTGGCTAAAGTTTATAATGAAATATATATTTTTTAATTATTTGTTCTTTTTAGATATACATTAGAGTGTATTTTGACATATTATACATACACTGGGTATAACTTCCCATTCTTGTGCTTGTACATGATGTGGAGTTACACTGGTTATATATTCATAAATAATCATAGGAAAGTTATGAACGATTCATTCTACTCTTTTCTATTCCCATCCCCCAACTCTTCCCTTCATTCCCCTTTTTCTAACTCAGTAAACTTCCATTACCTCCCTCTTCCTCTTATTGTATGTTAACATGCACATATCAGAACATTTGGCTTTTAGTTTTTTGGAATTGGCTTATTTCACCTAGCATGATAGTCTCCAGTTCCATCCATTTATTGACAAAAGCCATACTATCATTCTCTCTCTCTCTCTCTCTTTTTTTTTTTTTTTTTGGTACAAGGGATTGAACTCATGAGCACTCAATCACTGAGCCATATCCCTATCCCTATTTTGTATTTTATTTAGAGATAGGGTCCTTAGCACCTTGTTTTTGCTGAGATTGGCTTTGAACTCTTGATCCTCCTGCCTCAGCCTCCAAAGCTGCTGGGATTATAGGCGTGTGCCACTGTGCCTGGCTTTATTCTTTTCTATCCATTCTTCTTTGTGACTGAGTAGTATTCCATTGTGTGTGTGTGAATGTGTATGTATATGAGCCACATTTTCTTTATCCATTCATCTGTTGAAGGCGCCTAGGTTGGTTCCATAGCTTAGCTACAGTGAAGTGAGTGGCTATAAACATTGATGTGGCTCTGTCACCTGAGTATGCTGATTTTAAGTCCTTTGGGTATATGCCAAGGAACAGAATAACTAGGTCAAATGGTGTTTCCATTCCAAGTTTTCTGACGAATCTCCATGTTGCGTTCCAGAGTGGATGCACCAATTTGTAGTCCCACCAGTAATGTATGAGTGTACCTAAAAGAAGTATTATTAAAGCATTGAATAGGCAGTGACTTCTGAAAAGTAAAGAATGCAATACTTTAAAAATTTTGTTATATGATTCATAATGGGAGCAATCAGTGATCTCCCTGCCCCCGGCTTCTTCTCTAATCCATTTTGTGTATTGCCAGGTTAATCTTTTCTATTGACACTCTCCCTCCTCACATTATTTCTAGGCTTAGAAGTCTGTAGTGGGCTTTGTGTCTAGAATTTTGCTTTGGTACTATTTAATGACCTTGAATTTGTTCTCTCTGTCCTTGCCTGTCTCCTTTGTGAAGCAGTATGATACTGTTGGAAAGAGCTTAAACCTTAAAGTCATGCATGCCAGAGTCTGTCTCCAGGCTTCAATGAACCCTGGAATTTAAGCTTTTCAGAGGTTTCACAGTTTTTGGAAAGTGAGAGATAGTATCTCTTTTTTTAAGATTGTGTGGGTAAGGTGTTTACATGTTTTGAAACTCAGTTGCACAGATTCTTGCATATAGAGGAGGAAATGAAAACTTGCTGAATACGTAAGTAGGCTTTTCCCCCATTCCTTGCCATGTGAATCTGCTTTGGTCAATTCTGTTTTTTTTTTTTTTAAAAACATGTCTCCCTAATACCTTTTTCTTTCCTTAGATTCTACTATTCACTATTGTTCATTCACATTTAAGCGACCTCTCA